GAAAGTTGTTACCATTTCATATCAATAGTGGGAGCAAGCACACCTATATATACTGCCCAACTCTAAAAAGTTTAAACACTATGTAGACAAGCATATGAATGAGCTTAAGAGGGATAACCCAATAGACTAGAAAGTTGGTATGCCAAATTAAATCATGAACACTTTACAAGCATGGTTGAAAGAACACATGCATGGCAAGTAAAATGTTGATTCTTATTTAGTTTAATTTTTGAGAATTTAAAATTCTTGCTCAATGGTTTATGTAGATAGGTGCTTTCTTAAACAAGCTATATCATCAATGGCTTCACATTTCATACCAAATAGCAAGATGATCAGAACAAAATACGAAATATTTGTGTAACTCTTGTAGTTAACATCATGAATGTATAAAGTGCCAAAGATAAAAATCTTATCTATGCGAATATGTCATATTTCGGGGTGATTGAATACATTGGAGAGTTGGATTAAATCAGATTTTGGTTCCCATATTCAGGTGCAAGTGGGTTGACAATAACAATGCCTTGAGAATTGATGACGTAAGGTTGATACAATTGAATTTGAATGAGAAAGGGTCTCAGATCTTGCTAATAGTGAATGGTCTATTACTTTGTTGAGCAATAAAATAAATGATATTGACAAAATAGGATATGGAGGGAATGGAGTTGAGGATTATCCATTTCATGAGATGTCATCCCTTGAAACAGATTTCAATAAAAATGATGCTTTGTATATTAGGCACGACCACAGTAAATGAATATGAATTCCAAAAGGTGGAAAAACTTCACAATAAAAAAAATTAATTCAAATTAAGAAGACATTAAAAAAGCCAAGTCTAATAGGAAAAGGAAAACAGGCACTACTACTTGATTGAGAATATAATTACATTATCATTATGCATGTGTATATTTGTTTAATCAATTAGGTTTTGTTGTTTGTAATTTGCTGGTTGTTATCATTTTGGTTCTTAATTCTATTTTGCTGTGCATGCTAGTTTTGTGATTGAAATGCACCCTATTTAAAAAAAAATTAAAAAAAAGCTATCCTACATGACGGTTATTTGTTATACCCATCACGTATTATTATGATATACATGACAGTTTTGGAAAAAAAAAATTTGTCACATAAAGATACCAATGTAGGTCACATGGCTTTACTAGAGGAATAAAATACATGACTGTTTTAGACACAAAACTGACAGATATTCTAGACAATAAGCGACAATTTTGAACCATCACATATTTGGCCCAGAGAAAATTTGATGCATCCATTGGTAACGGTTATCAACAGTCATGTATAGCCAAAATTAGCCGGCGTGTATGGACAATTATGTAGTAGTGGATCCTACTAATAATGAATGGTTTATTCTTTTGTTGAACAGTAAAGTAAATGACGACGACATAGTATATGGGGACAATGGAATTGAGTCATGGGACATCACTTGAAATAGATTTCAATGAAAATAATGCTTTGTATGTCAGACACGATCATAATGAAAGAATATAGATTTCAAAGAGGGGGAATATTCACAAGAAGAAAAAATTAATTCAATCAAAGAAGACATTAAAAAAAAAAAAACCAAAGCTAAGACTAATAGGAAACGAAAAGGAGGCTCTTGCATGTATGTGTATATGCGTTTCTTTTGTTGTATGTAATTTGTTCGTTGTAATCAGTTTGGTTCTTGCTTCTGTTGCACGCTGGTTTCAGTGATTGCAATGCGGGGGCTACTCCTCATTAAAAAAATTCTCACAAACTTACTTAACAGTTATTTGATACAGTCGACAAATGTTATAAACCAAACATGTGATGGTTACAACTCACAATGGTCAAGTATAATACTATACTTGACTATTATTAAAGAAACGCCAGCAAGTGAGGATATCCATACATGTCACATGGCCTTACCAGAAGCCATATAAATAAATGACAGTTTTGGTCATAGGACTGTTAGACATGAGACACAATATTTGATGGCTCATAACTGTCAAATGTTCTGCCAAGATAATATATGACATGTCTGTAGTTGATAATTTTGAATAATCAAGCATGAGCAAAAATAACGGTCATATAGCGACAATTATGTAATAGTGGTGCAAGGGTTGAGTACTCTTTTCGGTTTTCACGTGTTTTTTTAATGGGATAATTAATGTGCAAGTCTTTATAGTTTCAACTAATTTTTAACCAGGTCCCTATAGTTTTTTTTTATCAAGCCCTTATAATTTCATATATTTTTAATCAGGTTCTTATCATTTTTTTTCCTTTTACCAGGTCCTTGTTGTTTTACCTTATTTTTAATTAGGTCCTTCTAGTTTCTATTCTTTATTCTATAAATAATAATATTCTATAAATAATAAATTATTATAATAATCTTATGTTAATATTCTTTTATATTTTTAGTTGAACATATGTATTATTTATTTTTCAATTCTAATTTTTATAATTATAAAATTCAAATTATAATAATAGAATTTTCTAAAATTAGAATATAATTATAAATAATTTATATTTTATTATAATTGATTACTCTACTTAATTATTAATTACTAAATTATTATATTAATTATTTTGTATAAATGATTTATATTTAATTACAATTGATTATTCTAATTAATTATTAATTAATAATCATTCTACTAATTATTTTGTCCAATTATATAATTATTAATTTAAAAATGAAATTAATTTTCAAGAATAAATTTTTTTAAATAAATTTTTCAAAACTAAAAAGGACCTAATTAAAAAATAAGTGAAACTATCAGAACCTGGTAAAAAGGAAAAAAAAATAAAAGGGCCTAATTAAAAACATGTGAAAATAAAAGGACTTGATAAAAAGAAAAAAATTTATAAGAACCTAATTAAAAATCAAATGAAACTATAAGTACCTGGCAATTAATTATCCATTTTTTAATTCTTAAAGTTATTTTATATAGTGCTTTTAATTTTAGCAATGAATTTTTGATTCTCAACCAACACGTAGAGAGGTTGATTATAACGTGTCCGGTTGAGATAGAGACTATTATGCTTGTTTAATGTGCATATGCATATGCCTATGCTTTCTCCTAAGCTTAATGACAAAAATGAGTCGTTGCCCCGTAACAGAAACAAAAGAGGTCAATCGTTGGGTGATAGAGACAGGAAAACGTTCTTTTAATATGGCAAAAAGAAAGCATGTATAGTAGATCTGATTTTCTAAAACTACGTAAAATAGCGTTTAAGACCATCCTAACTTTTTTGACCAGCAGAAGACCCTCCTAACTAGTCTATCAATCTGTGGGCGCGGGCTATATATTACCGATAACATTTCACATTTACATTCCCTACCTACTTTCCAAAACCATACCATTACGACGTTGAGATGGAGTATTCATTATATTATATCATTTAAAAACTAAACGAAATCAATTAACAGTATCAATATATACATACACACATGCTACTGTGTGCATCCAATAACATTATGCTTTTCTTTCAATCCGGGAGCACATTACCGGCCCACCGTAATTCGGATCGTTCATATTGATTTTAAATGGTTATTAAAAAGACCGTGGAAATTTGATATGAAAGACAAAGCGCAGATTGAAATTTTTTTTGGTTTTATATGATAAGATATAATGAATACTCCCATCTCAAAGTCGTAATGGTATGGTTTTAAATGGTTAACACTTCTTATTATGATTTTAAATGGTTACCGTTCATATTGATTTTAAATGGTTATTAAAAACTTGTTGGCAAAACTTGTGAAAGTGCAGCAGCGAATCCTTATTTAGGATTTTGCAATTTGCATTATCTTTATTTGCCATTTTCCTATTTTGGGAAAAATGAAGAACAGGACCGTGAAATTGCAAAATCCTAAATCATGTATTTTCACAAAAATATATTGTTATTTGCAAGTCAATTGTTGTCAAAACTTGTTGAAGTGTTGTAAAGAATCCTAATTTGGGATTTTTCAATTTCCACCGCCTTTTTTTGGTCATTTTTATAGAATTCAACATAAAAACAATTTTATAGTTAACACTTCTTAAAAAACTAAATTTGTTATTAAGAAAACGGTCTTTTATTTACATATAATATATTCAAGATGATCATCATGTTGATCATATATAATTTATAAACAGCATAAATATATTAATAGGTGAATGTTTACATCTCTTTTTTTCTTTATTTAATTCACGTTTTTTCCCCAAGTAATGATATATCGAATTATCTATCAATACAATTTATATCAAATCATAGTATTCCCAAATCTAAATAGATATTTGGTTATTAGGTACAATATGGAAGCCTGTGTTTAGTCTTGCGTACGAGTACACACACTTGATACTGCTATACAAACTATAATATTAAATTTCTTATAAATTGTTTGTCTTTGCCGTCTTAAATGAGAAGAAGAAAAAGAAGACACATATAAATCTCGTGTGATGCATGAAATTCAAGAAATAAGCTACACTGTTTATAATTCATGATAGACTATATACATATTGATTTTACAGAAGCCACATTATTTACAAGTTATAAACAAAGTTATTTCAAATTTCATATAAAGTTGTTTCAAATCGAATAAGATTATCTCTAACAGGAGAATAACTATGCATAGTAAAAAAAAAAAAAGTATTACTTATAACATCACAAATATTTTTATTATTGCCAGTTTAATCATATCTCAAAGTTACTTTGCATATATACGTAGATATAGATTGTCCCCGATGATCTAAAAATAAACAAACACGTTGGCAACAAAATGCATGCTCTTCTTCTAGAGCAGCCTTTTTATTGTGGGGTACAATATTACTTGTTGAGTACTTGAAGAGAAAACTTTGATTTTGAGGACTACTCGCAAGGAATTGACACATTGATGGTCTAAAGCCTAATTAACTAAAGCCCTGAACTAGCAGAAATTTAGCTATCGAGAAAGCTTCTAATCAAGCCAAACTGAACTGGATTGAACTGATGAACTTAGGAATACACAAATATAGAAGCATTGTCATGGGGACCAAATTTTCGGATTAATTAACTTGTGCACCGATTTCTTCATGCAATTTGCTCATCACTGCATTTGAAGCTTCACGTACCAGCTCCGACCAGTCACTGAAATCAATCAACCCCACCATATTATCGAATTTCAACATATAGTACAAGAAAAAGTTTTGCTTTAATATCTACTTGTTCTGTTGTCAATCGTCTCTTGATGCAAATCTATTAACGTGTCAAGTTTCCCTCCCTCTCATAAACCCACACGCAGCACCTTTTAATACTCTAATACTTTAAATGGTTCAATTTCTTTTTAAATTAAAGTATTAAATCTTTGCAAATAAAATATCAAATATCACTCATTTTATGTAGAATCTCATGAGAAAAAAAAAAGCTTAAAAAAACATCTGGAAAGGGCCCCAAAATAGAGAGGTAGCTGAGGCAGTTGACACACCTACCTCGAATAGGTAAGATTGAAAGTGATTGATAATTGGATTGGGAATGAAAAGACACCACTAAAACTAAAAGCAAAGGAAAATATAATAATATACTCTTTGGAGGAGTCGAAGGGCAGCCCCACAATGCATTTAGCTTCTTCAACAGCAAAATCAAACCTCTTCACCTCTTTCTGGGAACAGCTCAATATTCCACTGTCCTTAACCTGAAGCTGCGACGGCTTCACATCATAGAAAATCGGAATGATTGGTTTCTTTGATTCCAGGAGAATTGAGAGCTCATGGAGACAGAAATAAGAGTCACAATAACGAGGCGAAAAGACAGCAACCCCAACCTTACATCCTCGTACAGCTTTATCAATTGTGCGCAACAACCTATCTCCGGGTTTCAGATTTTCTGTGTCCAAGAACGGCTTGCATCCTTGCTGCATCAGATGGTCGTACAGCAAGGGAACCACCGTACGTCCCGTATCAACCTTACGGTGGTTTATGAACACGTTGCATGCAGGCCCACCAACGTTGCGCCAAATTTTTGCATGCAATCCCATCTTCAAACAAGAGCTAATAGGTAGCTACTGAACCAGGGTTTGTTTTTTTTCTGTCTGTAGTTTTGTCAGCTCGCATATGCTCATACAACGTGAATATATATATATACTTCTCCCATAGAAGAATTTGTATTACCCAGATGTACCTAACTAACTAAGCACCTCACTCACACCAAGGGGCAAGAGGTGATTAAGTCATTAACTTTGTCTGGAAATAAAATGAAGCTTTAATTATGCGTGTATTTAAGTAGAAAATTTCTTGTTTTTATTACGTTCTCACTCGGAGTTCATGACTTTAAGTGGGGCTGATGTTGGAAAATTTTAATTAATACCCCAACAAGGGACTTATAATAAGGATCATCCATCTCTTATAAAAGATGTCTTATAATAAGGATCGGAGTGTGTCTATATGCATATATATGAATTTTGAGTTTTGGAAGTGAGGAAAAACGACGAAAGAAGTCAGACCTGGGAAGAGAGATGCGACTCAAGCAAGAGAGAAGCAGCAGGTCGTCTTTGAATGTATGCTTTTCGTGATGTTGGGTTGGCGTGCCAGCTAGGAGTATCCTGTTCTTCGATTCCAACATGTCTAAATATTTTGTCGGTTCTTATTATATTTAAGTGTTGTCCCTTTTTTTTTTTTTTTTTTTGCCAACTAGTGTTGCGTGATCTCTTTGGATTTTTTTTTGGCATGTCTTCGGATACTGGAAATATAAATTTATCACTCGCATATAATTTATTTCACGCACGTTTTTGTGGCCGGATATAAACTTGTAGCCAAATATGAATGTAATGTCAGTATAGTATGCGCATAGTAATAGAATGGAAAGGCCAATCAATAATTTAATTCTTTTTTGACCAAAATCATTTTCATGGCTTATAATGCTTCCGGCACTACTAATTAATTAAGTTCTTTGTTTTTTTATTTTTCCCTCGTGATGAAAACTGTAGAAAAAATTACATAAAAAGAAGTTAAAAATTGTAATATTCTAACTTAGGCACTTAAGTGGTTAAAATCCCAAGGGAGGATGTGGTACCTAATCTGGTATTTTACAAATATAGTCAAATAACTAAAATGCCATTCTATGAGATTGTTTTAAAAAAAAAAACTATCAAACATGTCATTGCCTGTATATTTCTTGTTATTAGTTGTTCAACACTTGTTATTGCTAGTTCACAACTTATTAATAAATAACTTACCATTGCTAGTATATTTCTTGTTATTTGCTAGGCAACACTGATCATTTTCAGTTCACAACTTATTAATAAACTTTTTGATACAAGGATATTTTTGTCATTTAACTATATTTACAAAATATCAGATAATGCATCACTTCCTTCTATGGGATTTTGACTTCTTAGAATTTATTTTAATTTTTCACCAGAAAAATCCTAATAAAATATCTCTCCCGGCCCATCAAGCGCGAACCTAAAGTCCAGCAGGCATAATTACACTTTTAAGTTAAACCGAGTTGTCATACTATTTTGATCCTTACCCTTTTCACCCATCATTTAATAATATGCCGTCACCGCCCTAGCTATGATCAAATGCAAATGAGTAAACAATTCAATGATGTCAAAAACTAAAGCTTTGCACAAATAAACTTACGTGCTGACCATGCATTTCATCTCGTCGTTTAGGTTGTTATCCAGAAAATCAAATCAGTAGACGATGTTGTCTATGGGCTAATGTATGAATAATATATATATATGTGTGTGTGTGTGCTTGTGTGTTGAAATTGCTTGATGATGAATGAAAGCATGATTGATGAAATGTTGATCTATGTCTTATTTAGTTCATGGCCATGTGTGTATTTGAAATATTGAGCATGTGAATATGATATTTTAAAGTATGAAAGTATGTGATATCAAATATGTCATACACTCGCGTTTATCTTGTATGCATGAATGATAATGTTTGCAACTGCTCAAAGTATGGGATACCAAACATATGATACACTTTCTGTGTTTCAGAGCCCAAAATTTCAGAATGTTATACCTAACTTCCCAAATCAACAAACATATATATATATATATATATATATATTCTAATCAATCCTAAACAATATTATCCATACTTGAACATGAACTTCATAAGCATGCTCAATCTGAATCGTACTAGAATTTTATAGAAACTTAAGGCGGTAGAAAGCCATATTAATTTTATTGATAGAATAAAGCTTACCACTTTTAGTAGTCAACTCAATTGTCTTTTGCAACAGCCAGCTGTTGTCTTTTCAACGCCGCATTATCACAAAAAGGAACAAAAGTTAGCCTGCAGAATATGCTGACATGGCGAGGTGATTTATTCAAAAGGTCAAATCGAATTCACACACATATCAGAAAAAGCCAAGCTGCTGATATTCATACTCCCACGGTTATTTATATATAACACTACTATATTGATTAGTTATGCATATTTAGTTGTGATGATTGTACTTATACTATTGCTTTGTCTATGATATAAGAACTAGATAATTTTTATAGGTATTAAAAAATTATTAAGTTAGTTATTTATAACAAATATCTATATAAAAATCGACATTATTTTTGTTGATTTGGTTACTATACCAGCAAAACATTGTTTTTAGCCTATCCAATCCTTTATCTGAATTCTGAAGTACAAAACAAATATACATGTTTATTGTATTAACTGAGGGAAAAACACAATAGACTTGGTTACGTATTAACTTAATTTATTATAGTCGCATGCAGCAGCGGCTCACTCGTTTTTTTGTAGCTAGTATTTAGTAATTCTTCATACATTACACGAACATGATATTTAAGATCGATGCAGAATTATAAAGGTATCTATGTGATTATAGACAGGTCTGAATTGATAAATTGTTTGGAAGAACCAATGTTTAAGCATCATAATTGAAAAGGTTTGTATGTTTTAAACTGGTAAAATAACAATCAACATCGATCTCTAATTCTTTTAAGCATGTCAGCTGGTATTTTTATCATTCTGATCACTACCGTAGCTAGTGAAACTTGTATTCTTTGCCTTTCTTTCATGTAATCATCGACCTTCTTTTCTCCACCGTCTTGGTGGGGGGGGGGGGGGACTAAGAAAGCATCCCTCACTCTCCAATGAAACCTCTGACTATCCAGGCATGAATATTGACTTGGTGCGTCGAAGTTATTCTTCATCTCTCTCTTACACTCATTGGGACGTTTTGCTTTAATGGCTGCGCCTGTCGGGCACTCGGAAAGATTAAGAACTTCAATGCTGAGGTACAATGGGAAGTTACCAAAGCAATGAATGGTGGAAAAGCGATTTTTTTGACCTTATGTTTATATTATTCTTTCTCTCTTAACTTTGGCATTCAATAATATGGTTTTTGTATTGTTCTGCAAGAAAGTGAAGCCATGCATGAACCTGCCAAGAAATGCTTTCGGGGAAAAAATTAATGGTATTGATTTTTTAGGCCAAAATGTTATGTTTCACATTTATTAAATGTTAAAAAAAACGTTTTGGGAAGATTCTAAGAACTTGCACTTCTTCTTCTTTTTCTTTTCTTTGCGTTTTTTTTTTTTTTTTGATTAGTAGAATAGCAATAATGGCAGAAATTACATGTGGGATCGAACATCTAATTTTCTAGTTACAAACGACTTTTTAACATCCAATACATACTAACAAAGGGTACATCACCCCCCCCCCCCAAAACCCAAAAAACAAAAAGGGAGAACTAGAGGGAAGGACAAAGAGGGAGTGATATTTATTGAAGAGGACCATAAAAATTGTAATTATTTTTAAAAACCAAATACTAAAATATAAGTTTAAAAATATGAGATTGCCCCTAACTAAACCTCCTGCATTCCTTCCTACATTTTATTTTTAAAACTAATATAAATTTGTATGTTTCACTAAATTAAATTCTCTCAAAGTTTACAACTTGTGTAAATAACAACTGGAAAATATATACAAACATCGTTCAGTCATGTTAAAACTAAATTAAGCGAAATATAATTCCTTTCATCTTTGTTAATTCTCTTTTATTTATATTGATATATAATATAATTAGGTCATTTTTGCTGATTGATTGCAGGAGGAGTGTTACAATAGACAAATAATATAAAACTCTAACTGATCACACCGTTTATTTATAAATTATAAAATACAAATTATATGACTCATTTTTTATAATTTCAAGTGATCCACATTAATTTGTTTATAATTTGGAATCTTATAAATTTTAAATTGATATTAAGATCATAATAATTTTATAAATATATTAGGATGCTTAAATTTTTTAAACTATTTATGTAATATTTTATTTTTGCTACTTGGGTCCCGCAGCTAGTTCTGATAAGATATGAAATGAATTTATTTGTTTTTTTTAGTAGAGTTTAATTGTGCTATGAAAAAAGAAGAGAATTTAATTGATATCGTGTGAATAATAAGAGAAGCACATTGTTACTCACCTAAAGTTTTAAAACACTTTTTTTTCATGTTTAGTTTTTTTTTTAAATACAGCATATACAAATAATTACTGAATGGGGTTTGTGTAAAAGAGTGTTAAATGCATCAGAATAACATAACAATGGCAGAGTAACAAGAGGGGTCTGAGAGTTCTGGGTTATGGTTTTAGGGTTGCAGTTTTTGGGATTTGAAATTGTGATAAAAAATCAGACTGCGGGAAATAGTAGGAAGTGTATCATATGTAACATCCATTTATTGGGAGAATTTCAGTGAGCCTGCTATGAAGAAATTTAATATCCAATAGTCCCCATAAGATTCTAAAACTTATACTTTAGTCCATTTGATCAGAATGAAATTAAATGTTATGGGTGAAAATACAACTATTCCCTTATATTTCTTTTGTCAAAAAAAATATCAACCTTGTCGGAGCTTCGGTGGCCGGCTGGCCCGAGCTTTGGTGGCCGGCCCGAGCTTTGGTTGCCATACTTCCACTGGCCAATGCTTTGGGGTAGGATAATTTTTTTAAAAATAAGGTGACCTAAGGGGTTTTAAACCTATGACCCCTTGGTCTACCAAA